CATGATAAGCAAACAGCTTAGTGGTTAACCAACTATACAGTCATTGAACTTTATTGTTGTATGTCTCCAAGGTTTTATTCATTAGACAGCAAAGGCTAACTAACATACAACAGCATTGTACTAATAACTCATTTGATTTGTTTGAGAAAAGAGTTATTAGCAGAACTCTCCTCCCAGCCCCAGTCTCCTTGAGTAAACAGGTTGGTGTCAGATTATAGATACATGTGAAAGCCTTCCAATGATGAAAGGAAAAAGGATGCATTCAAGTTAGGACGCCAAAAAAAAAAAAAAAAAAAAAAAAAAACACGTGAGCAGCAGTAGAACACATGATCGCAAATCATGCTTTGAGAGAAAAAAACACAACTGTAAAAGCAGCCAGGGTTACTTCTTCCCCATAATATTTTCAGTTTTTCATTTTAAAAAGTAAGTTATTTAAGTAGATCATAAAGCATACTTTTCTTCTAATTTTAAAAGGAAACAAAACTCCAGTTGAATTTCCTAGCAAACTTTAACAAAGGAAAACATGTCTTACTTCCATTTATGCCTTTAATTTGCACACTGCATTATAGCTTACAAGGCATTTTCATTAGCGTTTTCTCATGATTCCTACTGCAATCCAGTAAAGATGACACACAACTTTACTCATGCTGTGAAGCAAGATAATGGTTTAAGCAAAGTACTAGCTCACAATTATTTTGTTAAAAAATTACAGTTAACAACTATAGTGTCTCAACCCTGCACTTCTGAGTCACCACCATCCAAACAGCCTGCTGACTGCCTGCATCTCCTTCCCAACCTTCATTGACAGGTCACTGCCTCCATGATTAGTCTGCGTTCTTGAAGCAGGAATTCAGGACCCCACTAGCAGCCAGCCTTCTCCCACCTCTCATCAATGGCAGAACGCCTTCTCCTGTCCACTGTTCCCACTTGGTTAAATCCACTCATCCTTTCAGGCATAGCTTAAATAACACAATCTCATGAAGCCTTCCACCTCTCACCAGAAGCAATCTTTCATTCTCTAGCTATGAAATCTTAGTGCTGCGCAGCTGTAGGAAGATACTGATTAAACTCATCCATAAAGTACTACTTATTATACCATGGAATTTTTTTCCAATTACTCAAATATGTTGCACTCACCTGCCCTTCAGGTCTAGGCTGGTCTTACTGCCTAGTACATTCTTTAGTACATTGTTTTCACTCTCTGAACCTTTCTCAAAGGCCCATGTTCACCAGGCATGGTGGCACATGCCTATGATCACAGCATTTGGGAGGCAGAGACAGAGGCAGAAGGATTTCTGTGAGTTCAGCCTGGTCTATATAACAAATTCTAGCCCAGACAGAGCTACATAATGAGCCTAAGGACCCTAACCATCCATTCCTTGACTCCTACTTTCTCTCAAGTCTCAATTCAAAGGACACTCTTTAGAAAGCCTCCCTTCCCTGCCCCACCCCAACTCTGAGCCCAGTGCCCTCTGCTGCATCCCCACAGTGGGTACCACCTCACCACAGTCTATGGATTGCTAACTAGCCATTTATTGCCTCTCTACCTACTAAGACTCTCAATCTCATCAAAAACCGTCCTGCTTATGATTTGCTGTGGTTTGTACCTAGCTTGTCCCACAAAGGTTCATTTGCTAAAAGCTTGATCACTAGGCTGGCAAAGTTGAGAGGTAATGAAACCCCCAAGAGGGGGAACTAGGAGGAGGCAACTATGACCCTGAAGGGCACTACCCTCAAAGGATGCCACCCTCGAAGGGGGATTAGCGTCCTGCTCTCGTAAGCTAGGTCTTGTAGGACTAGATTACACATTGTTATCAAGCCAATGCAGCCTTCTCAGCTGGCTCTCCTGTTGCCTCTCACACATGACCCCCCTGCTCTACTCATGCAACCCCACCAGGTGTTGCCATCTATCATGTTGTGATACAGCAGGGGTGGGGGAATATGTATCAGACTACAGCATAGCACTGTCACAGCACACTGTCATAGCACAATGCCATTAGGACTCAGCAGCCACCAGAATTGTGAACCATATAAACCTATTTCCTTTATAGATCACTGTTTCAAGTATTCTCCATAGCAACACAAAATGGATTAAGTCATCCTTGCAGCCCAACACCGAGCACTGAGCAGCATGTGCTCAGGCTGTTATCAAATTAATTTACAATTAGACTATTTTTAATTATGCCATCTGATTACTCTAGAAACAAAGTTCAAAGTACAGAGCTTTACAGATAGCAAGTCTTAATTAAATAATTGTTAAATGAAGAAATTTCATTAGTAAAGGGCCTAAATTACTTATCTGAAGTCTGAAAACTTTATGAGTTGAGTTGCATGCTATTAATATGAATACTTAATGTCTATTACAGGGAAAACAGGCAACATCGCAAATTCATTGTAGCAATGCTAAAACGCACTAATGACCGAATCAAATCTAAGTTTATGTGAGTTAGTGTGAAATCGTCTTAATTAATAATGATCATTCTTCATTATTCAATTATTATTTAGCCTACATTACCAAGCTCTAAACGCCAAATTCCATGGGTTCTTTAGCATCCACATCCATGCTGTCTACTGTTTCAACATACCAATTACTGCTCATGGATAAACCCCTTTTTGGCATTTTAAAGCCTTCACTTGCCCATCATCAAGCTTTCCCTTTTTTCTACAATCTATAAAAGTGATTCACCATCCTGTAAAATAACAGTCATAGTTCACTTCTTCCACAATGTCGCTCTTCATTCAAAAGAGCCTAGCTCTAGCTTAGCTTAATTCACTCACCCATTCATCCATGAACTTGCTCATTCACAAGTGCTCATTCATTCAAGCAGGAGCACCTGTTTCCTGACAAAGCCTGTGCAGAGTAGATGCTAAATGTCCATCAGCCAAATGGATTCATGTAACCAAAAATGGAAATCTCTCAAACACGTCAATCATCAGCAATATACAGATCTATGTTCAGGATTATATTAACTTTAGAAAGACATGAATAAATTTAGAAAGACATGACAAAGGTCTGATAAGTCTCTTAATATCATTCATAAATATCATAACAAGACACCAGAAGTAAGGTTTAAAAAGCAAAGGAAAAACTCAGAAGAATATTTGCATTACATGGGAACCAAAAGAAGCAAAGGAGTATTTAGCTCTCTAAAAACCACATGAAAATAATATTTCAATAATAAAAGGCACAAAGGCAATTCACAGAATACAAACAGCCCTAACAAGTATATAAATACACTTTATTTCACTGAAAAAATGCAAATTAAAACAAAATAATGTCCTTATTTATGTTTTATATAGACTGAAAAAAGCTCTCACCCACTCAGACCTGACAGGGGCGTGGCAGCCATGTTGTAAGAGTATTCACTTTAGGGGCTGCCAACCTTGACCACCTGAGTTCGATCCCTGGAACCCAAGGTGGAAGGAGAGAAACAAGTGCCAAAGTTATCCTCTGACTTCCACAGGTACACGCACATTCACATACTAATAATAAATAAGTAAATAGAAGTGATTAGAATAACTTGGCAAAGCAAAGGGAGTTACACAAGCTCTAATCAGAAATTCTACTTCTATGAACGTTATCTTAGGAAAATGAAAGGAGATGTGTATAACTTGTGGGTAGGTTGTATACCTAAGAATTTAATTGAAGAGTTATAGTTAGAATGAAAAATTAATTTTCACTGATAAGGGATATATTAAATGCATAGACTATGAAGGTAGCCATTACAACAGACAAGATAGAGGCTCAGCATGGAGGAACACACCTGAAAACCTAGCACTCAGGAGGCTGAGGCAGGAGGATCCAGAGTTCGAGGTCAGCTGAGCCATATTCCAAAACCTCGTCCCAAAAGGAGAATGAGACAGAGGAAACACTGTACAGTTACTGAGCAACACCTCTTACAAGAAAGAAAGACTCACTGCAAGAGCATGACTATGTTTAATCACTTCATAGCAGAATAAGCCCAAGGACATTACTAAAGCAGTGATGGTGAATCAATTCTAAGATGTTTTGATAGTAATTCCAAGTCTGTCAAAATTGTGCCAGTGAGTTTCTGGAATACATTAACCTCCTGGGCTTAAGCCTCTCCAACTTCAAATATCCTTCAGTTCTAACAATTTTGTACATCAGAAGTCTTGGGCACAAATTTACCACTAGGCTCCATAATGCCTCTCCTGTATGCTTCAGTACCTTTAGGCTATCAAAATACAACATGAAGTACTTTTTTTAAGTACAGAATTTTAAATCTATTACAAAATTTAAGTTTTAACACTAAATCCTTGATTATCAACAATAAGTTGTGCTGAATATGCTCATTTTATGGAAATCACAAATTATAATTATTCACCTCCATAATAAAGACTCCTATATTTTTTTAAAAAACAAGAAAAATAATAGGGCCATTTGAACATTTAAAGAGATGAAGAGATGAACAGCAGTAAACAGCGCTACATTTGGTGTACTCGGTCCAAGAATGCTGAGTGTAAATCAAAGAACATTGTAGAGGGCAGTAATACACAGCACTGAGGCCCTGCACAAGGACAGGACTAGGCCTCGGAGGTAGACAAGACAGAAATAAAGATCACTCTTTTGGCTCCAAAATTTTCAAACAAATAAAATAGCCTACCTGAGCCTCAAGTGCCTTTCTCACAAACTGCTGATAAGCATGAAAAAGAATTATATATAATGCCTGTAAAAGGTACCTCATTCAGTCCTGGTGAAAACACAGGTTCTCAAATGTTTATAGAATTGAAACAGTTGCACTCCTTTTTTTTTTTAATTTATAAGCAGAGTTCTACTCATTTATTTTGTTCATCTGAATTTCTGTAAAGTGCCATATACAACCATTCTCTTTTATTTTATTCTGCATAGAATAAAAGCCAGAAAGGAACTTCTTCATGTCCCCCAAACTCTACTTGTTGACATTTTTTTACTTTTCCACTTTGAATATCATCAACGTAAGTTTCCTCAGAAGTGAAATTCAAAGAGAAAGCATACTTACAAAGCATACCCCCAAAACACCGCAAAGCTGTCCTCTGGGCTGAGTGCTCTTCTTAGGCACCTATGCCTGCCTCCTATCATTTCTTCATGAGGTTCAGGGCAAAAGGTCTAGTCAAGCAGATGATCTTCTTGTTGTCCCTACACTTTGCTTTCCCCAACCACCTACAAACAAATGAAACGGGGTAAACAGAACTACAACTTTAATTTTTTTTTTAATGAAAGCTCATCCTTCCTATGCACATTAAGGTGTATCACAGAACTGTGAAAATAGGCTCCTCTGGTCACCCCAAGTAACCACAATGGAGTTTTTTTTAATGTGTATGAGTGTATGTATGTAACTGCTCCATATTCATGGAATGGTGCAACCTTGGTGGTACAGCGGTGAGCACAGCAGTCTTCCATATGCATGCAATGTCCACGGTGGCCAGAAGAAGACATCAAAGTCCCTGGACCCAGAGTTATAGACAGTTGTTAGCTACTATGTGGATGCTGAAAACTGAACCCAGGTCCTCTGAAAGAGCAGCAAGTGCTCTTAACCACTGAGCCATCTCTCCAGCCCAGTCATTAGAATTCTTGATATCTAAGTGTCCAGCCCACAAATTCCTCCTAGGAGGTTTCTGCCCATTAAGTCACCCATTAAACTTACTAGGTTATAGGTCGGGTGAGGTGGCACACACCTTTAATCCCAGCACTGGAAAGGCAGAGGCAGGCAGATCTCTGAGTCCAAGGCCAGCCTGATCTACATAGCAAGTTCCAGGCCAGCTGGGGTTATAGGGAGACCCTGTCTCAAAAACACCAAAAAATTAAATAAATAAATAAATAAATAAATAAATAAATAAATAAATAAATAATAAAACCTTACTTAGGTCATGTCACAAATATGAATTGTACCCCAAGTCTAGCCAACAGTACTGACTCTGAGCACGTCTCTCAGTAACCTAAGCCAGGTAATGAAATCAGTATGTTTTTCTGAACTTGATGAACCACTTGTAATTCTAAGTCAGCCTAAGTCTCTTTAAAGAAATATTATGTATGTTGACCAGTTCCTCTCACAGTATTGAAGCAAATGAAGTATATGTATTTGGATATAGGAAAGATCTGTGGATAGATATATTTTCAACATTTTGACTACTTTTAAAACAATGTGGAAGTATCTACAGAAAAACCATGCAGGAGAACCATAGCTGCCCGTGTGCACCAATAAGTCATTTCAAGACGGAAGCTATTCTGGAGATTTTCAATCACTAAGAGACAGTTCAAAGTGGCCTGTTAAGCAAACGAAAGATGTGCTCAGCACACATTTTTCTATCAAAGTAGCATGCTTCAACACGAGGTGAGTCCAGGCACTATGAAATTTCCCTTTCAGTGTTCTCACCTTCCCTCAGCACTGTCCACTGCAGCAGTCACTACCACATGTGGCTACCAAATCTAAAAACCTGGCCAGTTCAAATTGGTTTGTACTATAAAGTATTAATACACACCAGGTTTTGAACATTCGGTACCATTTTCAAAAAGTATATACTATCTCAATAAGTTTGGTATTTACTACATGTCTGATATGTTTTTGATGTGCTGTTCCAAATAAATGAAGAGTAATCTCATAAGTTTTT